TTAGACTTGTCTTCTCACATCATAAATACGTATTCATGTATGTATGTGTAAAGTAAGAATGGTATCCGGTAGGTATATACATAGTTCGATGAAATATCTCGGTGAACACATTGAATATGAGAGCTATTCAAAATGATGTTGTAATTCCTTTGGTACCAGCAGATACATTTGGTAACCGGACGTAAAGAATCAAATCCATACGTAAGATTAGATACATAAAGAAGAAAGAAGAAGAGGAAAGAAAAAAAAGGAGAAGAGCATATAAGCGGAACAAGTATAGATACATATCACATATCTATCTTATCATATCTATATTTAAAATGACTATATGTCATTTGGTGGATAAACAATGTTTGCCGGATATCAATCGAGCCGTTCAGCATTGCCAAAACAGATTTACGCACGAAAATCATTTAAGTCTAAAGTAAATATTTGGATAGATGCGACCGGAATCAGTAACATTTGATAGCGAATGAGATATAGCAATACCAATCGCATCTTGGTACATTCTCTTTCTTTCTCTTTCTTTCTACTTCTTAACTCTCTTTCTCACCGGATCTTCCCCCCTTCACTCTTATAGTAACATCCAAGGCGAACCAGGTACATATCAGCATCGTATATTCACTCTCAAATTGGATCATCCTTTGAAAGGGACGCATTCGTGTCGAGATCGACTGCACCCCTAAATCAAAGGTCATACTGATCCAATTCAACTAATAAGAGATGAAGGATTGAATAAAAAAAAAAGAAATAAGAATAAAAAGTAACGATAGGATCGGTAACAACCGTTCTCTCTTACTCTTACTAATCATCAACATCGGGCGAGAGATGTTCCAACGCCATTTTGAAATTATGTAATTCCTGCGGCCTGAACTATATTTTTTTTCTCTATCACACGGAACGCGCGCGCGAAAAGGCTTCGGGGCTACTGATGAGCACCCATTCACTTCATCGCTTCTTTTCTATCTTAATGCTTCTTTTTACCGAGATATTACTTTTAAAGAGTCAAATCCCATACGAGACTTTATGTGCCACGAACTTTAGTATTATACTTTCATGATCTTTCAATATTTTAATGAATTAAGTTTGATCTTTTTTGTAGATGTTAGAATCGTTATTATAATTGTATCTCTCTTTTTTTCCTATTTTTTGAAACTTGAATTTGAAATGGATGAGTACAAGTACCTCTTACGAATAATTTATATTTATAATCCTTTTAAGCATGTATAAACGCGAGAAAATCTTTGTTGTAGATTTTGAATAAATAATCAAGAATAAAATGAATTTAATTCAGATAGACAAATTTGTGCGACTTGTTATACAAGATGGAACAAAACTTCTGATGCTCGTAGTTTTAGTGAATCTGAAAAGGAAAATTAGCTTAAAAAAGGATCCTCGAAAGAGGATAGTTAATCTTTAATGTCACCTAAGAACTTTTGTTCCAGTCCACATTTGATTTAAGATAGAGACAATATTTCACAAAATATAATATTATTTTATAATTTGTATTTTACAACTTGTGATAAAAAAATTTGTTCAATTCGTTGCATTGTCCTAATCGATTAGCAACAATTCCTTCTCTTTTATTTTTTATAATATATTTCCATGGTCTCTCATCTTGTACTTTCATCCAGCATGTAATCCTTGTTGTCAGAGAATAGTTGCGTCAATACCAAAGCGTAAGAAATCATCCAGACCGCAGCTTTTTTCTTCTCTCTTTTTCTCTTTCTCTGTCTCGACCTCAGGCTGTCTGTTCGCGCTCTTTCGAAACGATTTGACTCAAGCGAGAGCAAGAACACAGGCGAAAAAAAGGGTTACCGAGTGGCAGGTTACAAGAGTCGGCATTGAGTTCAATCTGAATTTCGCAAGAAGAAGAGGAAAGAGAAGAAAAAAAATACAATAAAATTTAATTGACGCGTCGATCGATAAGTCGATCAAATTAAAAATTGAAAAAATCCGCCATTATTTCTTCATTTTCGAGCGCCATCTTTCAACTTCGTCGTCGTCGTTAACAGTTGCCATTACAGTTCCTTGTTCGATCGATCTTTATCATTAAAAATTATTCCTTTTTTGGTTAGGAACATGACCCATCTTATTTTCTATCACGATATTAGATTCTCGCGTAAGAAGAAGAGAAGAAGTAGTTCAAAGAATTCCCGGCGAACGAGAACCTAACCTCTGGCATAACACGAGCAGCAAGATAGATGAATGCGAGGATAGGAGCGCGCCAAAAGGGCTGGGTCTTCTCAAAGAATATATATCTGTGCTAGGTGACTCGATGATCCTTTTAGAAAGCAGCTCACTTGCTTTGTGAACCCCGTCTGAAGAGCTAGAATACTATATACTTACATACACATTGTTTCAAACGATCTTCTAGCATCCTATTATTGAGGACGAGACTCACGAGTGGCCCGATTTTTAATCAAGCCGTACCCGGTTTATTCAAATATCTCTTGATTCTTCCTTTCTAGATGTATATTGAAAGATACGTACGTATTTCTGTGTATGTATGTATATATGTATTTATATAGATTGTAGGAAATCATCTTTCTATTTAATCCTCTTTGAACCTCTTTGATCCTCTTTAACTTTGATTACTCAAATCGACGATCTTTCTGATGATTTCATTTCTTCCTGTGGTTGATTCAAATAGTTTCTTTTATAATGAATCTTAGGCTTATTAAAAAGTCTTGTTATCTTAATAGTTAATTATTTATATAAAGATTTGTACAATCGACGACACTTGATGCGATTTAATTTGTTTATATCTAAGACATTTGAATTTTTTATATTTATTGTTATCGTATGAATAACAAATATTTGATCTACACCGCAAAGTTTTGTTGCAGTTTAGTTTAGTTTTTATATGTATAAAACTAAGATGAATTTATAAAAGCTTCTACAAAGAAAGAAATTATGAACATTATTAATTTAAAGTAATCATAAACGGTATAAAAATTTCATTTTTATTTCACAAATGGCCAGAATTTTTGTCTAATTCTGTTTTAATATTATATTCTGCTATGTGTACCTAAATATTTTAAAATACTTTTATCAATATTTATGATTAAAATATACTGAAATTAAAACATAAAATTATTTAAAAACATAAATTTCAGATTTATAAGCTTAGAAAATCCTAACTTCTGAACTGAATTTAAAAATGGTGATAATCATTACTATATTCCAAAGAAAAAAGAAGTAAAAAGAAAAAATTCTTTTTCCAATTTTTAATTTGCTATATTCTCTATAAATAAAAAAAGGAGATAAAAAAGATCAAGAAAGTAAATCCTCAAACAAAAAAATCCATAAATATGCGCATAATTTCTGTATACGTGTATATATATATATATATATATGTAGCATAAAGACCAAGAATCGAAAATTTCACTTTAGGATTACGATCGAGTAGAAATCTCGAAGGTAAAATGCAGACTAGTTACTAGCTGTTATATCATCGAGCGCGTTGCTTTCAATCGCTATCTAAAGATGATCCTGTCAGGTGAAGTGACTGATTCCCGGTCACGTCATATAATTATCTATCTATATATATACTATCAATCATAGTATATGCATATGTAAAATAAAAAAAATATATAAATATATATAAATTTTTAAAAAAAAATACAATAAAATATACATATATACATACATACATATATACATACATATATATATATACGTGTGTGTGTGTGTATGAGATAATAGTATAAATATAAAATAAAAAAAAAATATATACGTGATAATATATCTATGTAGTATTAAGATATTTAAATACACAAACATGTGTATATGTATATATGTATATAGTGGAAGTCTAAAATAAAATGTAAATTAAACAAATTAGTATAAAAAAATTCAGTAAAAACAAAAAGAAACATTTTACCATTTTTTTTTAATCAAACGATCTCTTATATATCAATGACATATTGAATAACATATCATCATATCACAATAAAAAATTGTTTCTTAACAAACAAATATATATCTTAATACTTCTAAACTAAATAAAAAAGTGAATAATGTACCCGTATACCAAACAAAGTATATAAAGTCAAGGTTTTATTTTTCCTCTTTGTCCCGCCATCTTAATACCGATCTACCATACACAACTTCCGTGAGAAATAATAACGAGGCAATGAAATGATAATTGCTCAATGAGAAAGAAGAAACGATTTTTCATTTCCCTAGAGTTGAACCTCGTAGATACTTCCATAAAATATGAAATTCTTGTAAGAAAATCTGTGAGGCCCGAATAGCTATGACGTTGACGATGATCTAGCAGCGCGTTAAAATCGTCAACTGACCAAATAAGGAAAGATGGTGTTGTACCAATAAGAATAAAAGAATCATCATCAGCAGCAACAAAAGAAGAAGAAGAAGAAATCAAAATAGAAGAGATGTATTCGTTCCTTTTACACATTTACAAAGAGAAAGATTTCTAAGAGTAAGTTTAATGAGCTAAAGACGGAATAGGTTTGATCTAAAGACAGAAAGTCGATTATTGGAGGAAAGAAGCGATTGAGAGTAGCGTGGGTACCGTGACTTGAGAGATCAGAGGAAGAAAAAAGAGAAAAAAGAAAATAAAAGAAAGAGAGAGAGAGAGAGAGAGAAAGAGAGCAAGAAAAAGAAAGATAGAAAGAGACAGAAAGATAGAGAGGTTTGATCATTAAAAGAAAAAGAAGAGAATTTACGTCCCGATCAGTAATATACTAGACGATTTGGAGCGCGTTCTCTTCTAATACGTAGACGACGCATTACACGCACCATCTTTCTCTTTTTCTCTTTCCCTCACCCTTCTCTCTTTCTCTTTCTCTCTCTCTTTCTAGAAACAGAAAGATGTGCAACGCATCTCTTACGTAATAAGCAAGATATCTCAACAGAGAGTCGGTTGCAGGAATCGACGTGCGTTGGTTGCTTGCTTGCTTGCTCTCTATAAGCCGCGGATAGGATGATGATGATGCGACCCCAGTCGTAATATCCAACGAAGAAAGACCGATATAATTACAAGGAGGTACACGACTGTATAATATGAGTAAAATGTCTCTCGTATTTCTTCGACACCGCATCGTGATCCTTTCTTCTTTCTTAGCTACTACTACCATATTTTTTTCGTTTTCCATTTTTTTACGTGGTTGTCGTCTTTCTCTCTCTCTTTCTTTCTCTATAATGGTATAGAGTCAGTCAGTTACATTTATACCGGGTTAATTGATGCATTCTCATAACGATCGTTCGACCTTCAGATTCGTCGAGAGATGCCCGCCGATCTGTATCATCCGACTTGCGCAACTACCCTCTCATCTATTTCTCTCTCTCTTTCTTTTACACATAGAAACGTTCATTTTCTCCTACTCTGTCTCTCTCCGTTCACCGAAGACATATTCATTTTCTATCTCTCTCTTACTGGAGAACGCACACGAGGACTCCTGTTGGCGAACTTCATCAGGGTGTTCTTCTTCTTGTTCATCAGGCCACAGTCATAAGCCCTCCTCTTCGATTTGGTGGGAGGAAGACGATCCATCCTTGGTGAAGTATATAAGAACGCTTGATTCGACCTGAATCTGTACAGAGCAATTATCGCCATCGTTTCGCGATACATCATCTCTCGTCATCTAGTGTTCGAAAACGTTGCTCCTGTAGGACTCAACTTCGCGAGGAACCTAAGGGATTAACAAGGATCCAGCTGGCAGCGACATGAGACCGGTAGGAATATACTCTCCTCATCATCATCATCATCGTCATCGTCGTCGTCGTCGTTGTTGTTGCTGTTTTTTTTCCAAATTTCTTTCTAGTGTTTTGTCTCGCGAGATCAGTGTTATCATTCGTTATACTTTTTTTTGTCTTCATATATTATTCTCTATCTTTGATTTTGTTTTTCATCAACTGAAACTTGGAAGTGATCTTAAGAATCGTTTGGTGTATCTTGAATGAAAATTTCTATCTGACTGACGAACTTTATTCAATAATATCGGCCATTAAAAGATTCTATTTTGTTTCTTATACAGATCAGACTTTTCTATAAATTCTAAATAACAATGTTAATAATTTATAAATTATTTGAAGACAAATTTTGTATTGCAAAATATTTATAAATTATTTATGAATTATTTGGAGATAAAATTTTTATTATAGTATGAAAATATTAAAATTTTTCTATTTAATAATGAATCTAATATTATATATATATTTTTTTTAAATATAAAAGTAAGTTTGTAGAGATATGAGAAAACTTGAATTTTCAGCAGCTCGTCGTGACGTTGCTTGCCTTAGCAAGTGTGTGTTACGCAGCACGTTTAGAGAACACGTATCTTCCACCCGGTAGCGCAGGAACTGCAGGTGGAGCAGGATTTATCAAGGCGCCAAACAGGGGCGGTGGTAGTCCTGGTGGTCCTGGTAGACCAGGTAGTTTTACTGGCAGAGGTGATGGTAGTTATCAACTTGGAAGTAAGTTATTTTAAAACTATCCTAATTTTCTACTACAAATAATAAAAACTGAAAGTATTTGTTACAAAATATTTCAAAAGTTTAATACTAAGATATAAATATATCTCAATTTTTTTTCCAAAAATAATATTTGAAATGCTCGATCTATAGACCAAGTTCGAAATTTAAATTTTTAAATAAATATTCGTAAAAGATCTAATAGATATTTTTTGATACCTAAGTTTGAAATATTTAAAAAAAAATAAAATTTTTAAGTTAAAATTTAATTTATTTTTTTCTTGCAAAATATTTAACAAATTCAAAACTTAGGTACAAACATATCTCAATTGTTGATAAAAAATCTATAAAATTCAGATTTTCAAATAAATATTGAAAAGAAAAAATAATTTAATAGATATTTATATCTAAAATCAAAGGATTTCAAAAAATTCACATAAAATTTAAAGATATAGGGAATCGTTTCTGATCTTCTTGCAAAACACAAAATATCTAATATTTTAGGTAGTAGTGGAGTTAGACCAGGTGATGGAGTCAGACCAGGAGGTGGAGCAGATATACCGATCATTTCGTTCAATAACGAAAACGGCGGAGATGGCAATTATCAGTTCAGTTATGAAACAGGAAACGGTATTAGTGCGCAGGAAACGGGTCAGTTGCAAGGTAAGCTATCGTCCAAATACACATAGACACATACACATACATATACATTCTTCATTTCTCAATTTCAATCCTTGTCTTTCCTTTCCTATTACTGTTGTTTTTTAAAGTGTTGCGTTACATTTTTGACATTGGCCTCGAACATCATTGTTTCGTTTCGATTAGTAAATAGCCGTGATCGATGAAAGATAGTCTTGGAAAATGATGAAGATACTAGATAACATATCCTCTAGAAGAGAGTCAGGATATACATAATGATATAGATGACTATGAAAATGATTTGAAGATGATCAAAACTGACATTTTTGTAGTAAACTTAATCATTGAAAAATCCTATTAATTCAAATATCTAAGTTTTTGAAATCATTCCTAATCATTATTATAAGGGTCTACTTAACACGAGCAAATTAAAACATATCTGACTCTATCAAATTGTATAATTACCAGCAATTATTCAATTCTTTTTCATTTTTAGGAGAATCTGAAGCAGTAAGTGGCTCGTTTTCTTACACTGGGCCTGATGGTGTCCAATATTCGATCACTTACACTGCCGACGAAGAAGGCTTCCATCCACAGGGTGCCCATCTTCCAACACCTCCTCCTATTCCACCAGAAATTCAGCGAGGTGTTGAACTTTCACTTGCAGCTGAAGCAAGAGGAGAAAATCAGGATGGTGGTGGCTACGGTGGTATGTTTACTTTCTTTTATATATTAGGGGGACCGGAAAGTAATGTCGTTTCTGCGCATGTCGATATTTGATTGTGATTAAAAATAAAAACTTGTTAAAAATTTATTCGTTTGAATTTAATTTAAGAAAGCGATATTACTTTCCGGTCTACCTAATATAATTTATTTATTTGACATATATATATGCTTTATTTTTAATATTTTAAATAAATTTTATTTTATTTTAATTAAAAAAATATACTCTAATATACTAAATATACTCTTTATAGTATACTATAATAAATATATATAAGTTATAAATTCTATTATAGTTTTTGAATATAGATACAATACTTAAATAACTTATTCTCATATGATTTACTTACTTTTAAAATACTACGTTTTTAAAGACGATAGATATTTTCAAAAATACTTACAAAATTTGTATTTCAATAGATGGAAATCATGGAGGAAGAGGAGGTGGTAATCGTGGTGGTTCTTATCAAGGTCCGAATTCTTATCAAACAAGTTCAGGTGTTGGTACTGGTGGGTATCAATACTGAACATCACGTTCGTGAAAATACGACGATAACGACGAAATGATGTCCGCTAATATACTCGTTTTATTGCAACGATTGCATTCTTAAGCGGATCTATGTATATAAAATTTATCGTTCATGGTAGTAGACACACAATCCTTAATTTTTTTTCTATTTTTTTTTATTTATACAGAATCTCTATTTTTCTATAACATTCTTAGTATTATACAATTGCTTTGTTCGAAAACCATAGTGAATCAGATACACTATATAATTTGCATTTCTTTATTTTTTTTTACGAATTCGTGAACTTTACCATAATAATCGTAAACTGTTTTATAAAGATACACACACAGACACATATATCTTAATGTTATAATTTCTGGAATATGAATCATTACAGCTACATCTATATTATTGATAAATCATTATTGTGAAACACTATATCATACTGGTATATAAGTTTTTTGATCAAATGTTAATGAATCTTTGTTTAAGATTAAACAAATATATATATATACACACATACAAATAAACACATATTTATTATGTACACCTGTTTTGTTTAAATAAACAGAATGTCTGTCTCTGTCCACAATAATAAATGTGCCGTAATTGTAAATGTATCCATGTTCGTAATTAACTTTTTTGTGCTTTTAAACATATTCTCACGATGAACAAAAAATAACATGAGCAATAGATAAACATTTATGATATACAATGTATTTATAATACCTATGTATAATAATTAAACCGCGATTATTCGTTATTTGGTTGATTAGCGCTATGTCTTGGTGAATAATCATAATTAGGCATATTTATGCCTCTTGCAAATTGAATAAATAATTGTTCGAGCGTCGCCGATAGTACAGAATAATCTTGTATACATTCGAATCTATTCTTCAAATCGTTTACAGTACTATACATTTTTGTCCAAGTCGTTTTAGGATCTGTCACATGGTAGGCAATCAATCCCTAAAAAAGAAAATAATGTTTAATATGAAAGTCATTTAAAAATCATGAAAATTAATCAATACTTCTTTTATTGATATAATTACCAAATTTTCATCTCTAATTTCACAATTTAGAGAAGATTCAATAGTATTCTTTATAATCGTAATATCTTCTTCTGATCGGCTTGGATCTAATTTAATATGAATGTCGTAACCGACACCAAATCTTTGTTTAAGTTCTTGACTTGCTCCAATACAAACCAATTGTCCTTGTACCATTATGACTAATCGATTACATAAAGCTTCGCATTCTTCCATACTAATGTAATAAACATTTATTTATATCGGAAAAATGTTTATGTTATGAAATAATTTTATAATTGAAGATGAAAAAATACCTATGAGACGTAAGTATGAAAGCTTGTCCTCTAGCTTGACAAGATTGTAGTACAGACCACAATGATCTTCTAGCCGCTGGATCGACTCCTGTTGTAGGTTCATCTAACAGAACAAGTGTAGGATTGCCAATTAAAGCTATCGCTATGTTTAAACGTCTTTTATTACCACCACTGTACGTTTCACTTGGCTGCGACATACATGCTTTTAAATCTGAAAGCATTATACAAATTCAAGATTATAATGATGAATATAACAAAAATGAAAAGTAAAAAATAATAAAAATATATTTTTATCTTACTCAATCTATTTATCCATTTATTAACTTCCAAATCTACTTTTTCTGGTGGTATACCTCGAAGTTTTGCGAACAATCTTAAATGATCAAACGCATTCAAGGAATTGATCAATGCATTCGTTTGTGGACAATATCCCATTTCTGCTAAGTACTAAAAATGGAATTTTTTTCTTTTAGAAAACACAAATGAGAGAAAAGATGAGTCATAATCATATGTATAACATATATTTAATTACAGCTTTGCGATTGGAATAGATTTCCGCCCCTTTTAAGTACATGGTACCACTATTAGGTATTTCTTCTCCAGTTAACATTCTAAACGTAGTACTTTTTCCAGCTCCATTTACTCCAAGCAATCCAAAACACTCATGCTGCTTCACTCGAAAATTGACTTCCTTTACGGCCACTAGTTTTCCATAATATTTACTTAATTCATAAACTAAGAATAAACTGTCTTCTTCTTTAGAAGTTTGTGTGTCGTTAGTTGAATTTCCATTGACATTATTATGATCTATGCTGTTCCTTTTATCTGTATAATACATACCTTTTAATAAATATATTTCTCTACTTAAATATTAATATTATCGTAGTAGTATCTTACTCTGACTAGTAATTTTGCTAATCTCTAATGTTACCGCATGTTTTTCCCTTTTCACTTCTTCGTCTATCTTATCATTTGGTTGTAATGACGAGCTACGTATTTTGGTAAATAATCTTGTAAAAAACTTCTCTTCCAGCATAATAAGAATAGCAAAATATATCACAGGTGTTAAAGATAAATATAGAATATTTTCCTCTAAATTAATGTCATTTTTAAAATTCTCAAAATATGACATAGGCTTATTACAAACTCCATTTACACAATCCATTGCTATAATAAATAGAAAAGTATAGTAAAATTCATTAAAATTTATAACTAGTATTTATTTTATATTTTTTTATAAATAATATATTCTTACTACAACACTGATTCAAATATACTGATCCTGTATCACACAAAGTTTGTAAAATTTTACTTGGGAAACGACGGCATTTTGCATTTGTTACAGCCACAGTAAAGAAAGATAATTGTCCGTGGAAGAAACTTACATAAGGAATAAAACGGAATAATCGTTTTTGAAACGAATGCAATACTTTTAAATTCTCGAAACTTTGTATTACTTTATGTAGCAAATATTGTATGAAAACTGAAATTTAAAATGATTTTAATATTGTCAAACTTGAAATTGTGTTAAGTTGTGCAATTGTGTTAAAATGGCTTTCATATTATCAAACTTGTGTGTATTCGTTTTCTTTTTCTTACCAATTCCACTGGGTGTAATACTTAAAATAGTTATTACAGTACTTCTCGATTTGTTTATAAAACTAAATATATATGTTATCAATAGACCATTTATACCAAAGAGTAATAATATTAGCATCGTTATTACTGTGAATTATAAAATATTATATTAGTACTATAATATAATTTTCTTACATAGAAATTTAGAAAATTATACTTACGTATTTCTGTTACATGATATAAGCGTATGTCTAATATAATATCCATTACATAAAATCCTAATGTAATGATACATACAGACATCGTGTAAATTAGAAAATCAAAAGAAAATATAGTGAGCCAGTATAATACAGATGAGACTCCAGTCATTCGTTGTAACTGTTTAACTTTAGTAGATGTTTCTTGTAATGGATGAATAACAAAAAGTGCAAGAGTAGGAAAGAAGAAGGAACAAAATATTAACACTCGTGAAAATGCTTCCATTTCAGGAATCATTTGGTTAGAATAAGAAAACATATCTGGTAATTCTTGCCTAGATATTTCAATGGAATATTTCTTGCTTGTTAGATTTCTAATAATGGTATTTGACAAAATATTCATCGTTAGAGGTATACTATGCATCATTGTCCCAGAATAAAATCCATTTGCAGAAGTTTCATTTTCTGTATTATTAAATTCAGCAGAAACAATGACATAATTACGATATTCTGCTATATTCTCTTTACCATATGCTAATAATTCTGTAAAAAAAAAAAGAAAAAAATGGTCTCATATAAATTAATACATTTTTATCTAGATACTAATATTGTGTTTACCTTCTGTAACACTTCTGTTTGTAACATTAATTGCAATTCCCTTAAAGTTCTTTATTTCTTCATTATATATCTCACCATATTTGGGAATATCAGAAGAATAAAATGCCTTGGGATTTTTGTACATGTTGAGTGTTAAAGGTATTATGTCTAATGATTGAGCAGGGGTTTTGTAGCTTAGAGCCATAAATAAAATAGAAATCAAAGGTAGAAATAGCTAAAAAATATATTATTAAATAAAATAATATTTTTATAAAGTGATTTAGTATATTATATAATAAAATTAATGAAATCCTTACGATTACTAATAAGAAGCCTGCATTTTTTCTAGTATATATTATTTTTTTATTAAACAATCCCAACATTGTTTGTATAGTTAGTTGCCATCCTTGTAGTTTCTGTATAGGTGTACAAAGATCTGTGAGATATTTCCCATTATCATCTCTTTTTATAATCCTAAATAAAATAAAAGATAAGGAATTAGACAAATACAGATGAATAACCCAATAGATATACACACACACACACACATATATTAAATATATATTAATATTAAATATATATTAAATATATTTAATTATATGATAAAATAATATATCTGAAAAGAAATTTACTTTAAAAATACTTGTTCCAATGTAATCAAAGATACATTAATTCCTGTTACGCCTAATGTTGTTTTCTGATTTTCAATCCGATCTAACGAAAGTGGTAAATCCTCTGTATATGGAACACTTAGAACTATTTTTTCCTTTTCTAAAGTAACTTGTGACCTTAAATCAAACTTGTTTATTACTTTCTCTGGATCACACCATGATTTAGTGGATAATACAACTTCTATATGTCCATGACCTATAAAAATAATAACAATGTTTTTGTTTACAATTCAAATATTTACCGTTAAAAATAAAATCAAAAGTAATAAACGAAAATGAATAATTACCATATTGTTTCTTCAAAAACATTGCTGTGCCATAACTCTTTAAAAGACCGCCATGTATTATCGCAATTCTATCGCCAAGTATATCTGCTTCTTCCATATTATGCGTACTAATTATTATTGTCTTTTGACCTCTCATTTTCTATAAGAAGATGATAAACAATAATCATAATGATACAATAAAAAAATACTTATATACATACACTTACTAATATTATATCCCATGTATCTCTTCTGCTCTCAGGATCCATACCCGATGTTGGTTCATCCAAAATTAAAGTCTGTATAAATAATTGAAATTATAATATAAAGAGGAAAACCTTAGATTTTTTACATAAAGAAAACAAAAAAATACATACACTGGCATCACCAATGAGTGCCATTCCAAGACAGATGCGTCTTTTCTGACCACCAGACAATTTGCTGGGAAGATAATTTCGTTTCTCCGTTATTTGTAATTTTACAAGCAAATTCTCGACGTCACGTTTGATTTGTTGTCGTGTTTTGGCCTTATTTTTTAACTATAATAACACATTTATATCTTAAATATTTTTGTATGCATTTTTTAAATATATATAACGTGCTTACCAAACCAAAGAACTCAATCTGCTCGAACACATTTAAATCCGGAAAAAGCATGTTTTCTTGTGGACAAAGACCTAAATCGTTTCTGATCTCATCTAAATTATGTTTCAAATTTTTCCCATTTATAAAAACTTTCCCTTCTGTCTCGGTTATCACACCTATTAATTATACAAAGAAATTGCAAAATTATATTTTATTTTTATTATTAAAATATATCAGATTATAATAGTAATTGTTTATATATTTTATTTATTAAGTATCACCAATTAACCTGTTATTATAGACATAAGAGTAGTTTTTCCAGCACCATTGTGTCCTAATAATGCAGTTATTTGTCCTTTGTAGAAATCCACAGATATTCCTTTTAATGCATGTACCATCTGATATAATTCAATGTCATAATGAGTCTTTATATATTCATATATATATATATATATGTATGTATGTATATATGTATATGTATATATGTATATATATATATATGTATATATGTATATATGTGTATGTATATATGTATATATATATATATATATGTATGTATATATACACATATATATATACATACATAATTGTATATGTAATTAAAAGAAAAAAATAAAAAGCTTACCGATTTTCGTAATAATCCAGTGCTATAACTTTTTTTAAGACCACGAATTTGAATACCAGGAATAAATGCACCTTTAGAAACTGCTTCAAAATCTTCACCTTCTAATTGATCATAATTATAATCTTTTGCTTCTTCATCTAAAGATACTTTATTTGTTCTCATGCACTAAAAAATCATTTTACATTTAATATATTTCATAACTTGATTATATATTTAATATACTATTATTTTATATAATAATTATAAATATATTAATTATAAATATATAATAATTTTTTTTCTCTATCACTTTACCTGTAGAAAATATAATGGATGTTTCTTTACACCATATTTTCCTGGTCGTATGTTATTAATATAAACGGCCATAATAAAATGAATTATAATTCCCAAAATTGAAAATATAAATATAAATCCTGTACTTCCTGTAATATTATATCGAGATGATTCGCTAGGTATAAAGATATTACTCCATTGAATTCCAATTACTAAAAAGTATAAAAATATATAATTAATATAATTTCTCCATTATGCTGTGTTAAGAATATTAAATTTAATACATACATTGTGTTTCATATGTATTTACTTCTTCGAATAGTCTGGATAGTAACAGGTTTGGTAAAATTACACCAAGATATGGTATAATGCAAAACAAATTTTCTCGCATCAAATTTTCATAAAGAGAAGATGAAGCAGTGTATATAATTGACAAAATAATAATCACAAAAACAGCTGCAAAAATTATTACCATTACAAAACATATATATCCTGTATAATGTCATTTCACATATAATAAAATATAAAAACTTACGTTTTGAAAAGTATGCAGCAATATGCATACCAAATGATATAAGATGAACAATATGTACAGTCATTAATATCCAAAATAAGAATGCATTACTATAATACAGGTACGGATTTACACGGGTAGAGAATGTGTTTTTAAATAATACTATTAATGGTATCACATACAGAATACTGAATAAACAGCCAGTGGTAAGCCAGCTTAATAGATTTTGATATAATTTCACACCGTTCATTGCCATTAAAGTCTGAAAATAAAAGGACAACTTTTGTTTATAATAAGAAAATATAAATGTCAAAACATTATATAATTAAAAACGAGTACTAACATTAACGCCAATAAATTTTTCTTTGACTGCATAACTAGTTTCTATGCATAATGGTATCAGAAAAATTGCCACAGCAAATACAGAAATTAATTGCCGCAACGTTGTATCCATCATATTTGTTTTAACATATGGTGGATATGGCATTCTTTGTATGTGAATCTGTTAAATAATTATTATAAACTAAATAATTTAAATTAGCTTATACTAATAATATATTATATTAAAAATAAATGAAATATCTAATTACCTTTGGCATAATTGAAACATTCTCAACATTTTTCATAAAAGAATCATCAAGACACATTTGTAGCTGTACAAATGGAACTGATTCAAGATATCTGTCCTCTGATATAGAATAACTCATATCTGTATATAATTCAGAAGAGATTTGAGTAGAATGTCTTATTTTATACTTAAAATGTTCTTGCCTTTGATCAATAACTATTGCTAGGAATTCATGTAATGGTTCTTTAATTCGTTCAATCAAATAAGTTTCAAGCATTTGTTCTTCGGTTGCAAATCCAATAAACTCTAAAAAATGAATATTAGTACATTATCTAAAATAATATCATAACAAAATATACAATAATACATGCTTACTTTCATGTTTTAAACATTTTGTTGTTAAATCCATCAATTTTGTTGTAGATGTATCATTTGGCACAAAATATATTGTAGTTAAACTTCTCTTAATCAAATTTAATAAATTATCTTTACTTTGTAAGGGATAATAAGTATCCGTTATAACGACTTTTGGTGGTATTGAATTAAAATCTCTTCCAACTTGTATTAACGCAAATACTAATACAGGCAACAGAACTTGAAGGAATAACGTTAATTTCCAATGTCTTAATCGTACTAAGAAATTTTTATATAACAATAAACCAAATACTCTGCACCATTCTTTCATTTTTTTTAGTATTAATGTAAATACACTGTTAAATATGTAGATAATTTTTTGTTCTTTTACAAATTTCAGTTACTATAGGTATAGACGGATAAAATTATAGACTATCTGCAATATAAAGTTTATGAAGGTAAACAGAATAATTTATATGTATTGACTTGTAAATCCATACTAACTTTTTTCAAGCATCTAATGTGAATCAACAATATGAGCTTATACCGACTATAAATCAAGGTAATCAAGGTAATATGATCGACAGTTTGTAGTTTTTATCTTCTTTCATTTTGTGTTAATCTTATTTATAAATTATCCAAATATTCACCTAAAATAATCATATTTCTTATATATGTAACAATATATAGTTGTTAACATATAATAAAATTCTAAACTTAAAAAATCATAAGACTATCTACAGATTATATACATTTGATTTTAATAAATAAAAAATATAGGAAAAATGTATAAATATAATAGAAAGGAGAAAACATATTTAATTTTATCTGATTTATAAATTAATATTAATAGCAATTAATCCAAAAGCCAATACTACATCATCCTTTGTAAAAAATATTTGTACGAAATAAATATTCTTTAAATTACATATTAAATTTGAGACTATCTTGGCATTTAAATATAATATATACATAAATATTTAAACTATAATATAAAAATACATTTATAAAGTATGATATTTACTTCCCGTTACCTAAAATATTTTTTATGTAAAACTTGTTAAACTACAAGAATAATTATGTCAAGTATAATTATGAATTTAATAATATAATGTATAAATTATGTACTTACAATAATATAAATAAAAATGGGTTACATCAATGATAAAAAATTGATTAATATTGATTTTATTGATTAAAATTGATTAAAATTGAATTTAATTATAAATATTAATATGATATTACATTACATATACAAGTTGATATTGATTAATACTGGAAAATATTACCATGGATGCGTACGCAGGATTAAGTAGAATTGAAAACACACAGAATGAACACTTACTAAAGCACAATAAAAATGCAGCTTTTATAATAAAAAATAATAATATATAAAAAAGTTCAGAAATGATACATAAAAGCTTAACTGATTATTTTTCATATTGAATATTATTAATCGAAAGATTTTTATCTAAAAACACGATAGAAAGACAGACACGATAAAAAGTCATAACAAACCGTTGTAAAAATAACGTATCGTACGTTATCACACGTTACATTATATCAAAATAACCTTTGTTCGGTATTGTTCACATAGTCATATGTTCCAAATACGTCATCTACGAAATTAACCAATCAGGATAAAATGTTAAAGTATGAACCATTAGAACGAAGAGTATTAAGTGAAATAAATACCTCAAAGAGATGATTGGTTAAGATCTGGTAAATAAGTTTCATATGATATAACCTTAAAGTTTATATCTGGGGTTTATATTAATCGCCGAAATTTTACAATTGTTAACAATTTCGTAACTCATAGACTGTTGAATTATTATTATCCTAACGGTATTGTATCTAACGGCGGTAGTCAGTAAAAATTACTCTAGATCTGGCCATTCCTCAATAAATTATTGAACCGATCGGACTTGGAAACATTTCAACGAACTTGAATAGTCTTCGCCCGTTAAAAATAATCTATTGTAGATTAGTAAGGACATGAAGGTACGTTTGTATGTATATATGGAAATGTTTTCTACATATATACAAGATTATAGTTATTTTTATTATAATAGACGATAATTCTCACAGTAAGAATCTGATATAATATTTTAACGATAAACACGTGATAAGTGTAATCGTATTCAGTTGTTCTTTTTAATTTGAAGATATTAAGAAAAAGATTATTAAGTGCAATATGTACGCATTATTGTTGATCCACTATTAGAATTTTATGTGTGTATATTAAATATGTTAGAGAATGCCATGGATTGTTGTTACATCGAACAAAATGAAGCTACAGGAATGGACAAGGTATTTTCAAATGTCTCTAGTCCAGAAATGTTTGACAGTGATGTGGAAAATAAACACAATGAACAACAAGAAGTAGCATCTATAATTGAAGAAACATTGGTCAAAACTAGTCCACAAAAACCTTCCCAGGCTACTCTTATCGCTAAGTCCGATAATTATCTGCTGGCCAGAATTAATAAATATTTAACCGGAGTACCTCCACCGCCAAGTCACACCATTTGCCAAAGCGACTGTAATGACTTGTTGCATTATATTCAACAAAACCAACAATATTTTTGGACAATCTCTCCTATGTCAAAAGAGAAGAATGTTAGACAAGAAGAAATAGATAAATCTTTTAATCAAGGAACATTAGAAAACAATGAGTTGTTTTCTTTTTATAATACCAATAATACTCAGAGAAATTTAGCTAATACTTTTGAAGAATGCGAGTCAAATACAAACGTTTCTAGAGAGGTATGTGTACAAAATTCTGATAATGATACCAATAATTCATAAAAGAAAAATGACAATTTAAATAAGGATATAATTATAAAAACACAGACACTTGATATTTTAGACCAACAAGTAAATAATTCAAATAATTTGCAGAATAAATCACTTATTCTTTATAACACTGTTGGAGAGAAAGAAGTTGAAAATTTGCCTTGGTCAGAAGCATATTTTCACAAATTTCATGGTATCCAGTAAGTATAAATAATATATTATTTATACTAATAATAACATCTTGAAATTGATATGTATCATTTTATTTTTTTGTTTCAGTTATAATAGAAATAAATCAGTGGAAGAATTTGAAAATTTAACAATGAAACTATGTGAAAGATATATAGGAGCAGAAACACAATCTACGTGTAATATATTTTTTTCTAAACAAGGACCTGGAAGTGCTAGAAAAAGAAGTGTTCTAGCTAAACGTAATTATGGTCAAAGCCCAGGAAAGAGATTGAGTCATTTAGCTCGCAGAAGAAGAACATTCTCTAGTGCAAATTTACAAGGATTAAGTCTCAATGATAAAAGACAATTAATATTGAGTGTTAAGTATGATTTCTTTTATCTTCATAATATATAATTTAAAAATTATTTTTGTTAACTTACTATTTGTAATTATATTTTAATTATAGAAAACCTACAACTAGAAAAGGTAAAAGTCCAAGAGGCAAAAGTCCAAGATATAAAAGTCCTAGAGGTAAAAGTCCTAGAGGATCGGCTAAGAAAAAAGTAGTTCGAAGGCTTACATTAGAAAATACAAGTCCATATAAAACAAAATTGGACACATCAAGACGAGCTCTATTCCAAAGTCCACCCTTAGATAAAGCAGGCCCTAGTAAATTATTTAATTATAGTAATACCAATCCTCAAACAATTAAACGTGCTTTATTTCCCACGCCTAAGAAGGAAGATGTTTTAATGGAAGGTGTCAAAATAATTACTACTGAAGAATCTAAAAAGAGAAAAAATGAAGATGATTTACAAGGACCTCGTTTCAAGTGGGCAAAGAGTTTATCGTTTGACTGTCCTCTTGAATTACAAAATACTACTCTACGTTCCTGGGATCGCGAGAGACATTCTTCTGGAAATATTTTATCACAACATGAAATGTCTGTCATGCAAGGAAAAGGTGAATTTAGTGATACGCATAGAAAGGTAAGGTATTTTATTCTTATATTTATTGTTGTGCCATTGTTTAAGATATTATATTTGATATTTAATTATATTTATTATTACATAGAAATTATTATGGGCTGTAGCAGAAGCATTGCGAGGCAGAGGAATTGGTATGGGCCATCCGCAGTTTAAGCAGTACGCTTCAAATCTAGCACGTACTGTTAAAAAATTAATGCCTGATCTTGAAAATAAAAATATACCAAGAAAACCTGGTAGTACAAGTGATCGTATGTTAAAATTGGCTAAACATCATGCTCTTCTCATAACAGATACAAGGACTATGGAATGACTGTACTTGTTAGTACGAAAAAATATATTATTGTATCTTTTATACAAAAAAATTCGTACAATTTTAAAGGAAAAAAGAAATAGAAAAAAAATACAAGTGTTATTACTTCGATACTTTCAAAATAATGAAGGACTTTTAATTAATTTGATATGATAAATGTGATTAAATGCATTAATAAGATTTACATAATTTTTCACGAAAAATTATTATATTTTACTGTATAAATGTAAAAGAAAAATCCTTCTAAAGTCACAGTATATATATTAGAATAATTGTAGCCTGGACGGGATATTATATATATATAATTATATATATATAAAGTTCTGTAAATCAATTATATTTAATATGTGATTGTGATTTAAGTATATAGTTAAATCATTAGAAGCAAGTAAATACAAATTAAAATCTTATTGTCTTTGAAAAATCAATATAAATTTTTTTTTATTTCAAAGATAAACTTTTTCTTCTTAGTATATCAAAGTTTAATGTTGTTTTATGTTATTAAGAATTATGAATCATAGAAAATTATCTTACATAATAAACATCAAATTCAATGTTTCCAGAGAAACTTGATATTTGAATTTATTACAAACTATTATCTAAATTTAAGTCTATTCGAAGCCTCTCATTTTCATTAAATAAGGACTTTGGTAAGAGGCAAGTAAAAAATTAGAAGACTATGTTACACATGTCATAAATTGTTGCAAATTCTGTTTTGTTCTATTTCAAAGTGATACTTTTGCTTTATTATTTATAAATTATGAAATATACAATTTTTTTATTGCTAATATATATCAATTTTACCTACGCTGTACGAATACTTTTGCTTGATAGAATTGATATGTATTAGCATTCATATATATATATCAGTAAATAGATTAATATATATTTTAACGACATATCTAGCATAAGATTTTTATATATATATATTTAATATAATTAAGGCGAGTAAAAAAATAAAGACTAATAAAGAGGGAAGAAATAAAGACTAATACAGACTAATTGCAATAGGGATTTAGGAGATATTAAATTAATTCTATAAAACTCTTTTAGTTCTCCTTATTCTGCATTTTGTCGACCGACCCTAGCAATCAGTTCATCTAATATTTGTGTAAGTTCTTTGTTCTCCTTTGTTTTTTGCTCTACTATTTCAGCGAGCGAATTACTTTTCAATTCTGCTTTCCTCACCATCGCATGTAACTTTACCGTCTCGGCTTCGTGTTGTTTTCGTATGTCCACTAATTCCAGGTTGGCCCTGTGATAAATTTTTTTTATTTAAAAATGCCCTTTCTTTTTTAATATTTATTTCATATTTTTAGATATTACGATATCTTAAATTTATTAAACTTACTTCCTTAATTGCGACATGGCATGAGTTTTTAACTGATCATAACGATTTTCTAAAGACTTTATTGTTTCCAAATTTTCTTGGATACTTTCTTTTAAAACTCCTTCGTTATTTTTATATGCGGAAACGACTCCTTTGAGCCTTTCGTATTTTAAATGAACATCATTAAATGCAGCTTCCGTATTGCTAAGATGGAGATTTGTAGCTTGAAGTTCTTCTTGTACTTTAGATTTTTCTTGCTCAAAATTAGCACGATCCCTTTCTTTTTCAGTGAGTAATCGACTTATCGATTTTTCATATTCATCTACGACAACTCTACATAACAAAAATTATAATATTTTTTTATATAAGTAACTTTTATAACAAATAATAAGAATTATATAAGAATTTAAATTATAATAGTAAATTACGTTAATTGATTTTTATTCTCAATTTCTTGATTTAGTTGTGCTTGCAATTTTGTTATTTTTTCTTGAGAAGCTGTTTTTTGTTTTTCCACTTTTGATTCATATTCTTTTTTTTGTTTCTCCAATTCTTTTTCCAATTGCAACACAGACGCACGTAGTAACTCTAATTTCTCTGTTCCATCTATATCATCGACTTCCTTTGTATCAGATTTAGTTACTTGTATAGGTTCATCCTAAAAAGATACATAAGAAAAATAGGTTTTATTTATAACAAAGAAAATATAAAATCAAATGTAATTATTATTCCTGTTATAAAAGAATACTTTAAACATTGTTTACATTTTTGTTTTGAATTTCTTCTAATTTGTGAATCGTACCACTGGGAGAGGTACTAAAAACTTGACTGTTTCCTTGAGGTAACATACTGACATTGGCTAACAGAGGATCAAATTTGATATACAAAGATTCATTCCTAAGGCGAGTTGCGCTTTCTGAATTCCCTCTTGCGGAAAGAAAATCAAAAGATGTTGGATCTTGGAATACTAAAAATAATAAATCGTTAAATACTTAGAGACATTTAGAGAACAATCCAAGTACATATGATACGGGAAGATCAAATCTCAACTTACTTTCTAACACAGGATTAATAAAAACATCATCTTCCAATTCTAAAGGAGATATGAAAATATCATCTGCAACTTCTCCTGCCACTAATTCTAATTTTTTTAAAGAACAAGTAGTATCATTATTAGACAATGTAGTACTCTGTCTCTGTGGCTTAAATTCTTCGTATTGCTCAACTTCGTTTAAAGAATCAAGATTTAAGTAAATATCATCTGATAAAGTGAGCGTCTCATCCAATACCTCATCTGTGCCTATATTACTTGTACTTTGTTTTTTATTATCTATATTATCCTCATCAGTTTTCTTTGCAACTGTATCTTCTTTATTTATTTTATTTCCATCTATATTATTTGTATCTATTCTATTTTTATCTAAATTATTTTTATCTGCTTTATTTTCATCTACATAAAATGTTGTATCAATTTTATGTTCATCTACATTATTTGTATCTGTTTTATTTTCATTTATATTAAATGTTGTATCAGTTTTAATATATTCGTCTATATTAATTGTTGGATCAGTTTTGTGTTCATTTATATTAATTGTTGTATCAATTTTATGTTCATTTATATTAATTCTCCTATCAATTTTATGTTCACCTGTGTTAATTGTCGTATCAATATTATATTCATCTATATTATTTTTTATATCAGTTTTATTTTTATTGATGTTATTAATATCTGCTACATTGTTATTTAAATTATTTATATCTGGTTTATTTTCATCTGTATTGCTAGTATTTATATTTTCACTTACAATATCTGCAATTGCTTGGATAGTACAAGTATTATTTGTATCTGTTTTACCTATATTATCTACATCAGCTTCTTTCTCATCTACATTACATGTATCTGTTTCCTTAACATTTGTATCACTATATATATCTTCTTTTCTGTCACTTTCAGCGTTGTTATAATCAACAGGAGAAACTGATCTTGGTGTAGATGTTTCTAAAGTAAGTTTTACACTTTCAACTTCGGATTCTTTCAAATCCTGTTCACTTCTTTGTTCGTTGCTAGCAATACCTTCATCCGTAGATACATTCACTTCTAAGTTCAAAGATTCTTGAGGTATATTGTCACAAGTAAAATGTTCCTGTAATTCTTCTTGAGTCTGAGAAGAATTTATAAGGGAATGCGTGACATCCAACGGTGTTGCTAAACCGTTTTCGAATGCAGATGTCTCATTTAAGTTATACTTGACGGGTGACTTATTGTCAAGGATAACGTTGGTATCATCAATAGCTGAGTTGAAGGTTTGAATCAAAGTGTTATCAGGAGATTCATAAATAGAATTTGACAAGGTGACTTCCTCTACATTAGAATCAATTCGAATATCAGCACAACCACGAATTAATTCATTAACACCTGGTATATTACTATCCACGTAGGAAGAGTCTGCGACCTTGAATGGTTGAGAATTGTTGAGGTCATCGGTATCGGAACTGATACCGCTGTTTTTAATACTCTGCGTACTACCGATGCTGTAATAGCTGCTCTCTGAAGAGAAGCTCTCGGGTGTT